CGTGGCGAAATGTGCGCATAGCAATATCGATCGCTGGGCGGTCACATCTTGCCACGCGCTCGAATTGGGCGGTAGGCCGGCCTAAGACAACGAGTTTTAATAGTTAATTACTCGTTAACTATTACGAAAATTGCAAAATGGTACAGGACTTTTCCGTTCATCTCGATCCGTTCTACCTTCTCAAAAATTTTGTCGGATATGGAAAGATTCACCCTGTATATGAAATTACTCGGAAAGATCCCCCCATTCCAATTATTCCGCATTATCTGGTTTTTAATAAGCTGAATTAACGAGATTATGGTAATATATGTAGGTAATTATGATGATACATGTAGGAGCATGTATTAACATATTGATATACATATACTAATGCGTATCTCACATGTATATAATTTTTGATTGCATAATGATTCTTCAAGTGGTTATTTTTATACAAATAATACACTGTCTTGAGGTTTTATAATTAGTAAGTTTGGTCGAAGACATAAAATACGTCGCAATAATACGAAACCGATTGTTATGGACAGGGTGTCGCGACTGTGATTTTAATGACATATTTCTTAGTAAACAAATGAGGTGAAAATTCTACTACGAAAATATCGAGGCTATTACATTGATTTTTTGTATTGTAGAAATTAATAAATCGTGTTAGATATGTGCTTTCGCTATGTATTAAAGTAGGTGATTTCGAATGAATTAGTGCATGCAGATCTTCTCTGCATGCACTCAGATAATCATTTCTAGCTATGAGCTTTAGTCTAAATGTATAAGAACATGAAGACACAGGGGTACGACTATTCAACAATGTTATGAGCAAAATAGTAAGGGAATTATTAATAACATAATTGTTAAGAATATGTCGCAAGGCGGATCCAGGAGACGTTCTTGGGGAAGGGGAGGTGGAGGATGCAAACAGAGCAGAATTGACTTTAAATAGTTTAGAATTTCCATCATAATGCATTTATACAATTTGATAAGAGTACAATTTTTATAGTTTTCTCACAAATTACAAATATTAAACATAAAGTTTTTTTTGTTAATAAAACAACAAAATAATAACGTATTTGTTATAGTTTATATTCTCTTAAAGTGTTTTTTAAAATTCGATGCGGTACGCGTATCTAAAAAAAGCAATCTCTGTAGATAAAGATATGGTGACGTAAGTAGAAGAAGGTCGATGTGTGCCACTTCCAAATTTTTACATTCGACATTTCACTGATGTATACTTATGTGCGTAGTGCGCATGCCTAAAAAATGAAAGTAACTCGTTGACCATTCCTATCTGTTTCTCATATAAAAGAACACGAAGATGACCATATGGTTATTTAAGAAACATCATGTATCGCTGCAAAACTAAAACACGTTCTGTGAATTTGAGTGAATTCCAATAGAAATAATCAGTTGTATTGTTAACATCATTACTCAAGAGGTACCATAAAATGTGGTTTAATAAAATATGGACAAGCAAAGCACGTCTTGATGGACTACACTTGGTGAAAATGTGTTGAGCTGATGACTTTCAGCAGTTCTAAAGATAGATCTCGACAGTTCTGCGCGAGTTCTGTGCATTAGTAGTAGTTTTAAAAACAGTTCTATCGAAAGTGCTATTAGAATTGTTAATATTTTTTTGAAACTCGAAGAATGTCGTGCTAACTTCACAAATCCAAAACTGTCGTTAAAACAGGAGCTCTCGCTAGCCAGGAAAGGTGTACGCAAGCAAACGAGCAAGCGAAAAAGCATCTCGTGCCGCTAGTTTAAGTAACCGATATTTGCGGACAATTGTCTGGTGCTTTTACATATACAGGGCATTAATTAAAGACCTCACTGACGTGTGCCCGGCTAAAGGCCGGTGCTCAGTGGATTGACTTATTAATTATTAAGCATGATAGAAAAAAAAACGGTTCAGGATTTTTCGACTCAGATTTTTATAAGGAATAATGCTACTTAGTGGGCGGTCTTTAATTAACACCCTGCATATGTAAAAGCACTAAACAATTGTCCGCAAATATCTGTTACTTAAGGCCGGCACTCACGCACACTGCCAGGTGCGCAGATAATGCCTATTAATTTGTGCGCGGAAACTTCGCTATGTCATATTAGAATTATCTTGGCTTTCAGGCTTTCGCGGCTGTTGTCTTCTCCGGAAGCCATGAAGACTAAATATTAGAATTATCTTATCATTGCAAACTTTCTGTATTTTTTAAAATTATTATTAGTTCACTAGTAAACAATTAAAAACAAGCCTTGGTTATATAAACGCAAGCGTTCGACAAACATCGTCAATACGTTACACTGATTAGATCTTATATGTAACGAAAGGGATAGTGTGTAAATTCTGATAAAAAGAATCGTTTTAGGTACATATTGATAATTCGTAGTAGATCGTGAGTAAAGAAGCATCTTAAAATGTGGTTCTTCAATCAAATGTGTACGAGCAAAGCACGTCTTGATGGTAAAACTGTTGTGATAACGGGAGCAAGTTGTGGTATCGGCAAGGAGACAGCCAGAGATTTATATGGGAGAGGTAATTTTACTGAAATAATATAGTTTCAAGTTATCGTAAACTTTATAATTTCAGTATATGTTGTTTCCTATTAATGAAATATAAATTTGTTACTAATCAGAAGATAACAGTATCATGATACTGAAAAACCAGTCATATTTTTCATCGAATATACAATTTAATTGGATTTCTCAGTGCAAGCGTCATTGTCAAATAGCCATATAACATATTTATATTTCATTAGGGAAACACTATATACATTTATTTACTAGAATATTAGATTCTTTATGTTATCTTTGTGATTCATGTACAACTTCATAAAACTTTTTTATAAATCTATAAAAAATATTTTAAACACATTTTAATAAATAACGTGTGCACTTAGGCGCTAGAGTAATTCTGGCTTGTAGAAATATGGAAAAAACAAATAAAGCGGTCGAAGATATAAAGAACAATCCACCACCGGGGTAAGAGTATCAAACTTATATCATAAACTAACAAGAATAATCTTCAGGGTCGCCAGCAATAATTAACAACATCAAATTTGGTTGACCGGATACGGTCAACCAAATTTGATGTTGTTATATCACAAAAATTAATTAAATTAACATCTCTTTGTTTTAATTTATTTATTTTTGTTTTTCTGAAACTTTATTTATCTTAATTGAAGTATTTTATGTTGAAGAAAATGACGATTAGTTTGTAAATCAATGGTTACTTTCAGGATAACAAAGGATGAATATCTAAATAACGTCGGTGAGCTTGCGATATATTGTTTGGAACTTAGTAGTTTGAAGAGCGTAAGAGATTGCGCTAAAAAAATAATAAAACACGAAGCAGCTATTCACATACTTGTGAATAATGCCGGTGTGGCTGCACATCAGGACAACAAGACGGAGGATGGCATTGAGATGACGTTACAAGTCAATTATCTCGGCCATTTTCTGTTTACCATTTTATTAATACCAAAAATGCAGTCGTCTTCTTGCAGAATAGTCAACGTCTCATCGCTTACATATATTAGTATGTATCTAAAACGATATTATGATCGCTTTAACAATGAAGTAGAATATTTAACGTTGACGTCCAGTCGTTCTTATTTAAAGCACAAATATTATAGAAACATAATATAATAACAACATTCTCTTTTAGCTGCAAACATAGATTTTGATGATATCAACATGGAAAGAGTTTCACCGCTTGCACGATATGCTCGAACTAAGTTGGCCAATATTTTATTTACTAAGGAACTCGCTCGTCGATTAAAAGGTATACCGAAAAAGGAAACGTTTCCGATTAGGATACATTACATTAATTTAATACCTACTAATTAATACTTAGCTGTTACTAATCGATAAATCTTATTGATTCAAACATAGGAATTTCTTTAAGTTGCTAGCAATAGTAAACACTAGCCGGTTAATGTCAACATAAAAGCTTGATTATTGTTAATCTCATTGATTGTTTTTTATATATAATACAGGAGAGATAAGTTCTTATACAAAAATTTTTATTTTTAGAAGCAAATATTAATGGTATAAACGTTTACTCATTACATCCCGGTATGATTTCAACTAACATATCGCGATATGCCAACGAGAGTATATTTTATGGTTTCTCTTTTCTCTTTGATATGTTATCGCGTTTATTCGGTAAAACAATAGTACAAGGTGCTCAAACCACCATATATTGTTCAATTGATGAGGAAGTTGCTAATCAGACTGGACTTTATTATGTGTAAGAACACATATGAAATTATTTTTATGCAAGGTATAAAATACAATTCCATAATGTTCTTTTTTTTAACATTTGATATGTAGAAACTGCGGCGTTTCCAACACATACCTAAAGGCAAACGATCATCAGTGTGCAGAGAAATTGTGGCATGCATCCTGTCGTCTTTTGCATTTGGAACCTGATGAAAATTTTACTACATTTTTGGAAACAGTTTCACGTCAAATGCTGTAATATAATTCCTTTGTTTTCAGGCGAATGTGTTTGAAGAATATGTACAAAAAATCTCATCTAATGTTGAGAATTATGTAAGATATAGTATCATATTGTATTTGCATCAAGTAATACAATGTTCTATATTGTGTAACATACCTCACACCTAACACGCGTATTTTTCTATAGTTTATGTTATGTGTACTATAGTTGATACTCGCATATGCGTGTTACAGAAACACCTACCGTCTAAGAACTTTATTTACAGTTAAAACATTGAATCTTTAATCCCACTCCTTTATCTTTGTGATTTTAATAATGAATATTCTCAAATATATTTTCGAATCTTATATTGATTTTATGACAATTTTTTTAGTAAATCTTAAATCTTTTTCTTGACAGTCTCAGCTTTGTTCGATTCTTGCCACAAAAACCAAATAAAATTAGAGAAGACCAATGTTCTATCATAAACTTTCATCTATTTAGATAGTCCATGTGGAAAATGGCAATGAGGACAGCATTTAATTACATCAATAATATTTAGCAATATTTTATAGTGTCACGAATAATTTTTAATTAGCAATTATTATCGTATTGTAGTTATTTAGCTGCATATTGAGACTTTGCCCCACAATGCACATCTCAAGAGTTCCGAATAAATTCGAATGGATGAAGAGAAATCGAATGTAGAAGTGTCGTTTGTATCGTCGACCGAGCGACGTCGAATAGACATCGTGATATAATAACAATCCACCGATATAAAAATATCGGCTATTGAAATATTAGCGAGATATTGGCTGTGCTTTTCGCTTATCTCCTATTTCAAGTCAGGTCCTGCGAATTATCCTTCTGCACCCTGCATTCCGCCGGGAGTGAAATATCACTCCCTCCGGGAGAATTTGATATACTGAGACTCGCGTGCAAACCCTATTACATCACGTTTACGGCGACCGCAACGCAGAAACTTGATAATTACATTATGTCACAGCCCTCTTTTGTGACAACTACATACATTACTAAGAGGCATGTGATCACAGTTTATTCAGCCGACGATGCTTTGTTGCATACAAAATGCTCAACCTTTTGCGATGTATAATATTCTTTGCAACTTATATTAACACGCGCAGCTTGATGCATAATGCCATAGATTGCTTTTGGTCTCTATAAATAGGTTACACAAATAAACAATGATTTTGATAAATAGTCTCCACTAATAAAGAAAATAATAAAACAATCTAAGATAAATTAGGAGGAGTGTGAGTGATAGATAAGATTGGAATTAAGTTTCGCTTGGTTACTCTGAAGAATATTTCTTTTCAGAATTTTGGGGGTATATTGTTTTGTTTAACATTTATGCTTATCTCTCATGAAAGAGATTATATTCAGGATTAATTAAAGATAATTAGAAATAATCTCAATTCATAATCTTTAGTGATATAATGATATCACGATTATAAATGGCCAGCTTATAATCGACTAATTGTTATTTTTCAACAATTTTGGGGAATAGTTGTGGTGTTAATTCAGTACAATGTTATTTCCTATTTGTTCTATTATATTATAACATAATTAGCTCGATTAATTCCGTTAGCGTTGCCGCAATTTAGGAAGTTAAAATTCACGTTGTTAAATAATTGGCCATTTATTGACAACGCGGTGATAGGTAAACAGCATTTGTGTCGTGGATAATGGCAATTTGGTATATTTGTTATTAAAACGAAATAAAGAGCCGAACGAAACTAACAACCTCGATTATTTGCTGGGCTTGTAATTACCGAAAGAGCCGCGGATTCGTCGCACGGACTATCGTGTAGTAGCACGTGTATAATTATTGGGTTACTGTCAGGCATATCTTGTCAACGAATTGTATCGCTATTAAAACGAAATAGTTCGTAGCGACGAAAGCCATCGATACGATATCAACTGTGCATGTCGACTCATTCTAGATTGAATTTTGACTGCGGACGTTCTCGCTTTTTTTTCTGACTCACGTGTGAATCCATAAAGTGAATAAATGTCAGTCATACGATGCAATTAATTTTTTTAAGTCGATACGCGACATAAATCATATTGTTAATTAACGATTAACAGACTTAAAATTATATCAATCATTTTAAGGTATTAAGTAAATAATACTATTACAATATACATAGACGTGTTGACAAAAATATTTAAAAAAATTTTATTTTTATAAAACATAATTTACTACAATGTTATATTTCTTTATATTTAAATTTTATCTTTATCTTAAATATTTCGTAGGCATTTCTATTAAAAGAAAATTTGTTTTAGAACTGAAAGAGGAGGAGAATATGCATACAACATTTGATTGTTAACAATTTCCTTAAAGGCTGGAAATTAATTATCGTATGTTGTCTTCATTATGTTGATGATGTATCGATAAATTAGCAATTTATTTTGTTGACGATTCATCAAAGAGATTTGTAATACTCTCATAATTTATATTATTCATATTTTTTTTGTTTAACGAAGACCATCCTGTTTAGCGTAATTTACTAGCCTAATGTAAAAACTGATTAAGTTACTCACCGCTTTCAGCATCTCGAAGTTTCCTCTCTTCAACATATCTATTAGTCTCCGGTGTTCCATCTCTTCCTTCGTCATATACATCTTCTTGTTCTTCAACTTTTTATTTTCATAATCGTCGCACAAAATATTATGAAAATTCACCTGTTGTATCACGTAATCCGATCTCGTTTGTTCTACCGGATTTTCCGGCAAATCCTGCTCGAATTGCAGGTTCTTAACGAGAATTTCGTTGACCACCGCACCACGTTCGTCGGCGCTCTTCGTGGTCTCTTCGACTACACGATCTTGTAACTTTTCACCGGACTGGAGTTTATTTCGAGAAAGATCTTCCTCAGTCTTCAGTCTCGAGCCTCCCTGATTCTCCAGTTCATCAACAGGAATTGTAGCGGTCGACAAATTGCTATTCTCTCGCGAATGGATCGTCCGTTGGTCCTGATCCTCTCGCGACACGTCCTCGTAACCACCCACGAGATCTTGAAGGATTGTCGTCGACTCATCTGGCTCTTGTCTAATCTCTTCACGACCTCTAGATTCTTTTATCTCCGGAGATCGAGACCTGACACTCGATTTAACGTTACTCTGGCAAGATGACGCCGATTGAAAAGTGGCGAAAGTTTTCGCCGGCTCATTAAGAACAACTTGCTGCTGTTGATTCCACTTAACATAAATCGAATCGTCCTTCCTTTTGTCTGCCGATTCCTTGGACCTGCCATTCGGCAGACTCTTCTGCACTTTGAGACACTGCTTCAGTCCGACCTCCGGATATCTGCGGACCGGTCCTTCACTCTTCCGATCGTCCTCCTCGATAGTCTCGAGGTGCTCGTGTCGCGACTTGCCAATCTTGTCGAACGTCTCGTCCTCGAACGTCGACGACATTTCCGTGACGGTTGACTCTCGCTCCAGTTTAGAAACGCCGACCTTTTCACCGTAAGGCGACGTTTGCAGGGAAGGTCGAAGAACTGATTCGAGACTATCCGTGTGGATCACCTGCGGTTGCAAGCTGCGCTCGTAAATTTTCTCCACGTGATCGGGAGAGGCGTAACGCATAACTCTAACGGTCGGAACATTTTCACAAACGGCAATCTTGGATCTTATGGCATTCTGCTCATTCGACTGTCGCTGCGAATCATTGATCGCGGTGTAAGCTCGATTGTTTGGCTTGAAACTCGACGAAGGTATGCCAATCGGCATCTTCGTTCGATCTTGCAATCCAGCATCACGCGATGGAGACACACCAAGGTCCTTGCGCGGCAGGACCGGTGGCTTTCTGACCTCCATCGATGCCCCTGCGACCTGGTGACACCTGGATCTTGGAGTACGCGACTCCACTTGACCTTGCAGAGCCCGCACACGAGCGCTAACAGCCGAGCCATAAATCGGTTGCTCTTGCCGTGATTGATCGATCGATCTGGGCTCCCTTCGGACGTCGCTGCAAAACTGAAGTCGGCGTCGCGGCGACTCGATCGCAACGATGCGATCAGACTCCGCCGACGAAGCGATCCTCGATGAGCTACCTCGAGAATAGTTTGCGGCACATCTTGTTGACACTTCCGCGGTCGATTTACAGGCCGCCTCGACCGTTTTATCGGCTGCGGCGGGTCGCAGTGTCGGCCCGCTCGCCGTGGCAGCCGGCCGCCTACTTTCTCCGTCCTTATTTGGTGAGATCGGCTCGCCTTGGTCACTAAGGCTGCCTCCAGGCAACGATAGGCCCTTCGAGGGGCCCGGCTCGCACGACGGGTTCATCTCCTCCTTAACAAGCGAGTGCGCTGTCGCCGCACAATTTTCATCCACGGCGTTTCCAGAATACTTGAGCGACGGCCTTCTGCAGGAAATAATTGACGATGTCGCCGCCGCTGCCGCCGTCACCATCGACGTCGCACCAGTAGACACCTCGATTATCTTCGAATTGCTGTTGACAGTCGTCCTACCGCGATCGGACTCGCTCATCGCCTTTGACAAGTTCGTAATTCTACTCGCGGTTGCAGTCTTCTCTTCAAGATCCGCCTCGACACGTCTGGACTTGAAGCTCGAACCGAGAAGTCCTCTCTGAGGTATCCTGGAGGCCGGGTTAGAATCTCCGGATCTTGATGATGCGGCGCACAACTGAGGGTTGAAGCCGTAATCCTGCTGCTTACTCCTCGCCGCCAAGTACTCTTTATACGTGCCTCTACTCGTGTTCACACCGACATTCACCTTGTCCGGCCTGCCGCGCTCCACCCTGCGATTCACGCGAGTCAAATCGTCGTAGCTCGACGAAGTACCTCCGTTCAACCTGTCCCTCGCCTCGTCGATCGATGATCGACACTGCGAATCCTGACCGCGATATCTACGCTGGCTCTTCTCGGCGCTGCTATTGGACCTCGTCAAGGGCCTTTCGCGAGGGGTCACCGGAAAGTTTTGACTGTGCGCTTGATTCAGCCATTCGTCCACCCTTTTCTGGACCTCTCCTTTGCGTAGCAAGATCTCGGGCATCTTCGAACGACCGCTCTCGATCGCGTCCATTGTAATCGTCGGCGAAACGCAACTGGTATCTTGCTGGTGGCCTTTATTAGAGTCCTTCTGTCTGTCCCGCGAACGCTGTCTCACTTGAGTCTGCTGATTCACCTTTAGCACCGGCTGAACCTTTTCCCTCGTCGGGATGGACTTAGTCTGAATTCTTGCGCCGGACAGTGACTTAATCTGCCTCGACTTTACCTGCTGCCGTTTCTGTTGATCCATCATTACTGCCTCGAAATTTGTCACGCTGATGTTGCCAACGTCACTGAGATCCGACGATCTACGATAGTCCAGATCCTCATACTCGTCCAAAATATTGTTCACCGACTGCGTGTCGATCGAGCTGGTGCTCTTCGACTTGTTTCTCGCGACGCTCTCGTCGCTGCTCGAGTAATTACTCTGTTGCTGCTGTTGCTGGCGCTCCCTGCTGACTTGTCGCTTGGGACGTGGCTTCGGCTTCTGGTATTTTGTCACTGCATTCTCGAAGCGCGACGAAGCGTCCTCGATCTCTTCGCTTTGGTCTGTCTTCGTAGCAGACGATTGACGCGCGTAACGTTGCTGGGACGACTCCCACCGATGATTGAGCATCTTGCCGTCGTCAGACGTCGGCAAGTCCCGTCTCGCCGGTAAACCGGAAGCCCGGAAGGTCGTGAAGTTCTGCACGTTCCTCGAACACGTGTCCTCCTCGGCGTTCGTCAACCCCTTCGACGTGATCCATAAAGTGATCGGACGAGAAGCGCCGCTGTCCACGTCGATTGCATCCTCGTCGGTGAAGGAAATATTGCTGCCCACATTGGATTTCGTAATTATTTCATCGTTCATCTTCTGTCGCAAAGCGGCATTTTAGTTGTGTCTTCTCGAAAAGAATAGGAGTACAGATGACGCGAGGAGATCCTGAAATGAAAGTATTTAAATATAAAGATTGTGACAAAACTTATTGAAAAGAAACGTAATAACAAATAGCTGTTTTATAAATTCGAGTTTGATAAAATTTCTCGAATTTATGAAAAAATATATATAAGCTGTTTATAAAGTGATTCTTCAACACGTTAAATATTTTTCTAGCAGCATTGAATATCGATTTATCTCAGAATAATTGTTTAATGTCTAAAACGTCTACATTAAACAAAAATAGATAACAACGAAAGAATGTGAATCGCCAGTGGTTAATTAACGATAAAAAGAATTGTTAGACGACTTTAGGCTGGTAGGTGGTTCATTTATTTAAATCCTTATTTAAGGAAAATTAAATTAAGGACTTAAATAAATAAACCATCTGCCAGCCTAAAGTTGTCCAACAATTCTTTTTATCGAAAAATAGATAGCGGTATGGTTTAAATATGAAAAAACTGCATCATTATTTACAGATGCACGACTATTTTAGACGATCGTAGGGAGGGAAAGTGCAATTTTTTAAATTTGAGAAACCGCTTCTCCGATCGCTTGCGTGCGCTTACGTAAAAATGCTGGGAAATTATCTACTAGGAACTATTTCTGCAAATTCAACGTAATAAAGTCTCTAACTTGCGTGACGTGAAACGGCCGACGAAGAACGTCCTCCTCATTAATTTTTCAACCTGCACGAAATTTAGAGCACGTGCGTGCTCCGCTAAATGATACTGCTGCGGCTACCGTTTCCTCGTGAACTCCACATGCGCATTATGCGCCATTTCAACTGATTTGCAAAGACACAGACTATCGTTTTACCAGCGAATCGAGAAAGATACGAAGTCACGATAATAGATTGGGAAAGGGCTGGTAAATATAATTTTCGCAAATGTTGAGAAAAACTACGAGTCTGGACTATGAGAACGAAAGTTATCTTACGAGGTACGGTGTTAAGTTTAGAATTAAAATTCTCCTCGGCAAAATTCGCTATTTCGAACTCGACCACGTTTTGGAAATCTCGCCTATCGGCGATAAATAGCAGAAGGCGCGCTTCCGTAACGATTGCGCCGATCCGATGCCGCCCATCGTTTGCCGTGGCACGTTCTATCGCCCGTTGAATTTCCGGTAACTGACCGGTATCCGGTTTGAATTAATTCAGTTCCTGGGCTCGGGGACATTAAATATTATAATGTGTTCGCCCTGAGGAAATCGTGCGTGGAATCCTTAAGAAAGTGATTAACGGAATTTAATATGCCCGTAGAGACCGGTAATGCGAAACAGCACTGTTTCTTCGTGAAGTGAGCCCGCAAGTTTATAGCGTCTTGTGAATTATTAGAGAAATATCATCGATGCATCTGGGAAACTTTTAAGTAATGCTTTCTTTGTTAAAATATATAAATATTCATTTTCAGCTATATTTTATATGAAATTGAATTTATAAAATATGGTGATCCTAGTTGCCTACCTAAGTTGCTTACCTAACTATATTAATATCTTCCCTAGATCGACCAAGGTGATTTTCATCTTAAGAATTTTTGTATAAAATGCATTAGGGAAGAAATTAAAATCGGTAATCAATTTAAATGAATCATCCTATATACGCATCTACAAGTATACACAGGTGTTCATTGTATTTCATAGTTTAAACTATTAATATTAGAAGGACTAAAATATTAATAGAAAATACAGTAACGAACAAATGAGCTAGTTAATTTAAAAAATTGTGTTACAAAAGATCATATTTTTTCGTGATTTTATTCCGCTTCATATATTCTCCGTGAAGTGCAAACCAATTTCCAAAAGTAATATTCATGCTCTTCATAAATACGTTTTTATATTGACCACCAACGATTCACTTATCTCCCGAATGAGATAAAGCATGTCGATAATGTAAATCTGTAAAATTAACAAGATTTAATTCGCGAAAACCTGGCTCACAGATGAGGGGTCATTAAATGTATAACGACCTGAGAGAATCCCGAATGCAAATCGTACAAAATGCATGTGCGACTAATGGAGCGGGTGAAAATATGAAAAATCGTGTGCTGCTTATCGGAAATATCAACCGGATCAATTGCAAATTGCGTATTTTCGGCAAACAATCGGTTTTCAGCGACGATGCATCCCCCGACAAAAATAAAGATCGACCTGGCGATAAATATTCATAAAACGATGCGCGATAAGGGTATGGGGCAGCTATGTAATCGGATAATATTCGCGAGCGTGTAAAAAGGGGGCGGTGGATTTTATTCCATTTAATTACAATCCGCTGCGCGATAGCCATCGGTGCGTCGATATAATTCAACAATGCGTTAAAATTGGCGTGCGCGAAGAGTAAATATTAAACGAGAATCGCTCGGGATCGCGAACATTGTCAACCCCCACGGAGAGGGTAGATGCAATTCACATGAGGCAGTAAGACCCGCGCGCGGGAGGGGCGTAAATTGAATTAAATTGTCGCGGCTCGGCTGCCGCGCTACTGTGAGCTCTTCTGGCGCTCTAATGACTCCTACACAACCACACGCTTTGAACCCCCCCTGGCTGGAATTCTACTTTTAGATCGCAGATAACGCGTAACCCACCGGCTCGTAACGAAACGTGCGTGAATCATGCGTGGCGTGAGTGATGTCGGCGTTAGAAATTGACCCTAAAACCAGAATCGCAGGCGTCTTCATACGTTTGGCCGAAATTATATTTCGCCAATTTAATCTTAATTGAATTCGTTTGTATTTGCACGTGCTATCCGGTTGCAAAAGTTTCACGTAAAAAAAAAAAGATTTCTCTATATCAAATTCGCATCGCTCTCCGAAAAATAATATATTACGATAGACTTGTTTTTCATGTTGCATGAAATATGCAACGAGAGAACGGCGGCTGTAGAAATAAACTTAAAAAAAAAAACAACAGAAGCGCGGATGATCAAGGCGGGAAAGATGTATCAGAATGAATTTCTCTTTCAAAAATGTTTTTACTAAAAAGTTTTAATTATGTCATTGCGTAATATGGAAATGAGAGTAAAGATTGTGCTTGCGCCGGGGAATATCAGATAAAAATGTTTATCGCGTGTACCTGAGGAATGCGAGCCATAGGTGTGTTTAGCTAGCGTAATTAACGGTACTGGAAAATTCAGGTGTTTCCGCGAATGCACTGACCCGAATCCTTTACGAGCGCACTAACACGCGACGAAGGTGACTACGATCTGCGGCTATTATCGCGATTTATCGTCCATATGCACTCGTCGCGATTCGGTCCGTAATATCGTCTCGTTAGCCAGTCCTCAGTATTCGCTCTCGCGCAGTGCTACTCGCTGCAAGTTGCAGGAGTTCGGAATACGAGTGCTAGAAGTAAGATGTTAAATGCGTAACTTTTTCTAACAGGACACGTCTTGTATAATAAGCTTCCATTTAGGATAAGCGAATCTATTTCGGAACGTTTTAATTTTTCTAGTGTTACATCGACACGTAATGTCAAATTTTTATATTGTTGACAAAGGGCATCATGAATGATCGTCGCGATGTGAAGAAGGGAGCAGTGTGGATACAGAAAACAATTGGGAGAAATTGAAATGTTCCGAAATTGCTGCTGTTCCGAAATACGTTCGCTTACCCTATTTTAGTTGGACCAAAATTTGAATTATTTTAAATATAGGTATATGTGTATAGTTGATATGTTCGTTTATATATATGTATCATATTATAAATATTAATATGTACATATATAACATATTATACTATGTATTGTTGCTTGTTTTACGGTACAATAATAACGTTCATAATATACTAAGCACATTAAACGGAGACGGTTGTAGTCTCAGAAAATTCTGCCTTGCAAAACACCTTTGCAGATTTGCTCTCACAGTATTCGCCAAAAGCAATTCCGCTAAGAACTGCAAGATGTCAGCGGCAAATCGGTGCCGTGCATATACATAATTCATCGATTGACATTCCCGAATGAATTGCGGCATGTTAGAACCGCGGTGAGACGACAACGGAATGCAAAAATGATCGCGTGGGCTTAACGACCATGGCACGATTGTGTAAAAACCAGGGATGGTAATCGACCTACGATCGCGAAAAGCAAATACGTACATCGGGAACTTGACTCGTTAGCCGAGCGTGAGGTACTGTGCACGCTATTTAAACCTTTTAACCTTTCAATTAATCGGGTGACGAGATCTTTGATCTCTTCCCATCTAAGGCTGACCGCGGACCATCCGGATTATTTACCGGTTGGCATTATCGGTTTTTTTTTCAAATGTCTTCTAATTTCGAAACTGAAGGCAAACATAAAATTCCACTTTTACGAAAAATGCATATGTATATGATGGGCAATGTATTACAGAAAAATATGTAGCAATGTATAAAATGTTTTTTAATGCTACAAACTATTCAAATGTTTATCTTTCATCTTGTCTTTAACGTAAATTTCGTTAAATGTGCTCTGTCGAAAGTAATAAATAATACTAATACTACAAACAAGACAGGTACAAAAATGTAAAAATTGTCCCACCATTAATTTCAACGTATAAACTAAAATTGTATTTTACTTTGTAAAAATTCGTTCAATCAATCGTATGTTACGATTATTATTGGCTCCGAGAAATATTATCTGTTTTGCCGTCATAAAAATTTTGAATATTCTCGTGATGTTAATTATAGGAACAGTACAACGGGCAATTTAAAAAAAAGACGGCCAATTTTGTTTATTAAGTATCACCATAATCAAATTTATTGAACGTCCATGTAAACGAGATACATTTTCGTGCTGTATTTTCTACGACATTTATTCTGAAAACACTAAAATTAAGATAAAATGAGAAAATTATTCGTTCGAGCGCGACAAGTTGTCACAGTTTAATCGAGTGCTTTTATCAACACGCCGGAAACATTTACTGACGTGCATTCAACATGTTAAACATTTAAATAAGCGATTAA